ACGAGCGCGTAGGCCCCGCCGCCGCCAAGGAGGTTTCTTGTGAGAGTTAAGTGAGCGAGCTTGCTCTGGCTCGGTTGTTTCGTACACTCTGCGTGGGGCCGGCCTTGACTTGGCCCGTCCGATCTTGCCAGGCAACTTCCGAGAAGCTCACCCTCCTTCACGCCTATGGGCAAGCAAAACCGTGTTCGTGTTCGACCATGGACATATGCCTCGCACCAAAGCACAGGCCAAACACGGCAATGCCGTACGGCAGCATCATGGATCCGCCTAGGCAGTGCATTACTTTCACTCAATCTCTTTACTATTTTCCTTTTCTATTTGTGTTGACCTACCTTTCCTAGACCATGTTTATATTCTAACAAAGAAGTAGCGATTTCTTTTTTTTTGCGAGTAAGTAACTAACAATCATCCGCAACCCGGGTTTTTAATCATAAATTGGCCAATTAATCTATTTTATTGGCCAATTAATCTATTTTATTGGCCGGCCATTAATTGGTCATTTTTTTTGCAAGTCCCAGGCTTCAAGCAGTAATAAAGTAAAAATGGTAACAATCATCCGTGTGTGCTCTAAGCATTCAAATAGGACAGCACTACAACAGTATATAACAACAACACTACATCACGGTGGGTGGCGGCAGCGAGCATCATCGCTCGCTCGCTGGTGTCTTCCTAGTGGAGGAAAAGGGGTGGTACCGTTCTTCTATTGTCGGAGGAAGGGTGCCGACGACAAGCATCATCGGCCGTCAGCGTCTTCCTTGTGGAGGAAGGGATGGCGCTACTCTGGTGCTGCTAGACAAAGGGGTGGTGCAGCCCTCCTCAACAAATTTCCTTCACAAATTGATCCAAGGCTAGGGGGAGGCACATCCCCAGCAGGCTCATCACCCAAGTGGTGAGCATGCTTCTGAGGTTCATCAGCTTCAAGCTGAGGGACCAATGCAGGCGCTTGGAGGAGCGGATGGTCGAGCGGGACAACCAGATAGCCCAGCTGCAGGCCGAATGGTTGATGTGTATGCGGACAAATTGTGATCCTCTCCTCGACCGCCGAACATCATCGTTGAAAATCATGCCTAAAAACGGTGTCAAAGTCATCGTCGTCTTCTTCCTCCTCTTTGGCTGACGACGAGTCCTCCAACGCCATCTCCCCCAACCTCTTCATCTACAATCCAAACGGTTTGGTTCAATCCAAACGGCTCGGTTCAAAGAGAAACAAACAAAAAAACTCACCTAGGCAACGCTTCGAACACTTGGGGTGCGGTGGTGGTGCAAAAGCCGACCGACGTGGTTAGGACCGAACGGGCGAGCGGGTGACTTGCAGCGGAGCGCAAGCAAGGTGAGATGCGGCGACCGCTAGAAAAAGAAGAAACTCAAGAGAAGACGGACGAATCAATAATGGCGACGGCGACATCGTTTCACCTTGATTCCGGCGATGGCGAGGGGGGCCAACAGGCCGGCCGATGGGCAGAATGGCGGCGGAGGGCAAGTGATGGAACTAATTAGTGGCGAGGCCGGTGGAGGACCGATGGGAGGCACGCCGACGAAGATGCAGTGGCGGCGCGGACGCGAGGGAGAGCCGCAAGGTTTTACTCGGCCGCATATCGGTGAAGTAAAATAGGATTTTCTTTTTAGAGCCGGACTAAAAATATACTCCGCTAACCGCGGATAGGGGAACAGCTAGGTGATAGTTAGTGGACTAAAATCGAAATTTTACTCCACAAACCGGTTATAGGGGATCGGTTAGAAATACCCTAGCCCCGTCCTTAAAGGCCTCCATGCATAAGAAATACCCTAGGGGATCGGCACTTATCAAGATGGCTCCCCTTCCCCCTCCCTCCTCCTTCCCCTGGCTCCCCCCTCTTGACCGCGACGCCGGCTTGATCCTTCCCCTCTCCCTCTGACGGTCCTTGCCCCCTCGCCTGGGCCTCCCTCCCTGGTCCTTGCTCCCCTCGCTACGTCGGCTCCTCCCACCCATTCTCCTCGGCCCTCCTCCCCTGGTTCGTGACTCCGCAACAAGTTCTGGGCGCTGGCTGATGGCGATGATCGGTCCAAATCTGAGCCCGAGCCCTTTCTCAGCTCCCCGGTTCTCCTTCGTGGTGCCACGGCGGGGATGGAGGTGGTGGCGCCGGCGCGGACTCGGAAGTTTGCCCCAGGTGGCTGTGGCAGATTGGCCTTCTCCTCCTCGTCGGATGCATCTGGTTGGATTCATGTTGGTTGTCGTCGGAGACCGTCGTGGGCGATGCTTGCACCCTCGCTGGAGCGTGGGGTGCTGGGCACGAGTCCTGGTTTTGGTGGCCCCGTGGCGGGCTTGTCCTGTTCCCCATCGTCTATGTCGCCAGCGGTGGGTTTTGTGGTGTGGCTGCGCTCGCAGTCGGTGGCGGCGGTGGCCTCGTTGCCAACCCTAGATAGGGTGTCTGGCCAGACGTCTTCTGGGCCTCCGGTGCGGGCCTCCCCGCCCCTGGGCCTTTTGGGTCACCCCTGCTCTCCTCTGCTTCTGCTTTTCCCCCGTTACCTGGTCTGGACTTTGGGTCGCGGTCGGCTCAACCCTCAACCCCTCCTGTCTGGCCTGGCCTGCTTGGGTGCACCCGACCTGGCTCGATCTGGCTATTTATGAGTCCGCAAGGGTTCACTTCCCCCTTCCTAGGGTTTCCTGCTTCCTCCTTTGACATTGGTCACATCCGCTTCTCCATCCGCCATCGTAGATCTCCTCTTCCCCCCCCTCTCCTGATCCTTTGCGGTCGTGATTTCCATGGATCGGCTGCGTGGCTCGTCGAGTGACGCTGTTAGTTGATTGCGCTGTGGTTCTTGAGCTTGAGGCAGCGCTCTGTTCCAAGCTCGAGGCGGGCCAGGCGACCCGCAAGCAGGTGCCTCGTGAGTGCGAGGCCTGGGTGGCGGGGCCCGAGTGGCTCCAGCGCGATGAGTGGGCTCGCTCTGCAGCGGCTTCGGGTTCGAAGGAGCCCAAATCTGGTGGCTCCGGCTCCGCTCCCCGCCCCCTCCTCCTCCCCCCGTGGCCTGCTAGCTCCGGTTCATGGCCCCGACTGTGCGACGGGGTCCTCCTCGGGGTTTGGTGGTTGGCCGCTGCCGCGCGGTGGCCATGGATCTGGCTCCTTTAGGCATCGCCCCCCTTATGGTCTTGGCGCGTCTTCGGCTGGCCATGGGGATGTGATACTTCCTCCCCCCACCCGCCCGTCCTCCTCCTAATATCCAACATTCTAATCCCAATCCCAACCTCACTTGCTTCGCTTGCCACCAATCAGGTCACTTCTAGTCTCGATGCTTCAATCCTCCTTTCCGCCTCATCTACAGGGAGGAGGGACACCCACACCACTACTTTCACTCTCCCTCTTAACCGACTGGTGGTCTCCGTCAAGGCCGCATCCAAAGGCTCCAAGGTAATTGCCCCGCTCTCTGATGTGTGGGTGCTGGTCGATGACGTTCCTCCTACCTTGCGCTCCTCTGAGTTCATGATGGACTTTGGTGTGTTCATTGGCAAACCTATAATGGTAGATCATGAATCCCTTCAAGTCCTTGGCCCCGTCCGTCTCAGAGCCTGGTGTGTCGATCCCCTTTGTGTCCATGGTGTCGTCAACGTCTTCCCCTCGGCTGATGGTTTCCATCTTCGCGTCCGCGTCGAGGACGGGGCAAATTCCCAAGCTCCTCCTCCTTCCCCTCCACACAGACCTTCTCCATTTGACCAGCATAGGGGGATGGCAATGGTGCACTGAAACCAAGCGGGTGTAACGATATGGGCACGCTCAAACGCGAGTGTAACGATATGGGCACGCTAATGGCGGCTCTAGTTAAGTACGCTGATTCTCATAGTACCAAGGATCCCGAGTCTGATGATGACAAGGCAAGGAAGGGAAAGAAGAACGGCAACGGTAAGGGCCCTCAGCGCAACCCGAAAAATCAAGGAGGTAATAAACGTAAGGCTGACGACAGCTTGGATTTCATGGCTAACACCAGCATGCAGGGTAATAACCAGCGGCGCAAGGGGAGGCCACCTCCCCGATCTGGCGGGTTAGGCCCCACACTTGAGCAATTGTTGAATGAGCCCTGTCCAAGACACGGCACTCAGCAGAAGCCGACCACCCATTTATGGAAGGACTGTACGATCATGAAGGCATTTAAAAATTCCAACATGTTTGATGGTAACGATAGGAAGGGCGGCGGCTCAGGTGGCGGCGGGTTTCATGGCCCGGGCAGCGGGTCAAATCCCAATTTCCAAGGTTCCCAGGGCAACCAAGGTGGATATAACCAACAGTCTGGCCAGGGCGGTCAGCAACAGCAGCAAGGTGGATACCAGAGCCATCCAAAGCAGCTGAATGGTGGGCAGTATCATGTGTTTACCACCAATTTATGTAAACGAGACCAGAAGCTTCATAAAAGGGCGGTGAATACGGTTGAACCGGCAATTCCTTGTTATTTGAGGTGGTCTAAGCAGCCTATGGTATGGAGTTGAGAGAATCACCCTCCCCGGGTTGACAATCCGGGTCATTTAGCCTTGGTGGTGGCCCCTCAAGTGGGTGGATACAAATTCACTAAGGTACTCATGGACGGAGGCAGCAGCATCAATATCCTCTACTATGAGACCTTCCGTCGCATGGGGTTAACTGATAAGTATCTTAAGCAGTCCAACACTGTCTTCCATGGAGTTGTGCCCGGTAAGTCAGCATACCCAGTCGGCAAGATCGAATTGGAGGTAGCCTTGGGGGATGAATATGACTCCAGAGCTGAGAAATTGACGTTTGAAGTTGTCAAGATCGAAAGCCCATATCATGCTCTGTTCAGGCGGCCGGCTTACGCCAAATTCATGGCCCGGCCGTGTTATGTGTACTTGCAGCTCAAGATGCCGGGTCATAAGGGAACCATTAAGGTTCACGGAAGCCGGAAGGTGGCCCTGGAATGTGAAGAAGGTGACGCGGCTTATGCTGAGTTGGTCTGTGCGACGGAAGAGTTAAAATTCTACAAGGACAATGTCGACCCGGCAGACATGACATCTTTAAAGAAGCCAACCACAGAGCATGAGCCGATCATGAAGTTTAAGTCGACAAATGATACTAAGCTTGTTGATTTTGTGCCTGGCGACTCTTCTAAGCAGTTCAGTATCAGTGCTAATTTGGATCCCAAATAGGAAAGCACGTTCATCGAGTTCATCCATGAGAACCGGGACATCTTTGCATGGAAACCTTCTGACATGCTGGGTGTACCGAGAGAACTCACTGAGCACACTCTTAACATTGATCCAAAATTTAAGCCGGCCAAGCAGTTTCTCCGGCGGTTTAAGGAAGAGAGGCAGAAGGCCATTGGTGAAGAGGTAGCCCGGCTCTTGGCAGCAGGGTTTATCGTCGAAGTCTTTCATCCGGAGTGGTTGGCTAACCCAGTGCTTGTGCTTAAGAAAAACGACACTTGGTGTATGTGTGTGGATTACACGGACTTAAACAAGGCTTGTCCAGGTGATCCTTTTGCTCTCCCTCGTATTGATCAAATCATTGATGCTACGGCGGGTTGTGAGCGTTTGAGCTTTTTGGATGCTTACTCTGGTTATCATAAGATCAAGATGGCGGTTAAAGACCAGGAGAAGACGGCGTTCATTACTCCGTTTGGAGCCTTCTGCTATGTTTCAATGCCTTTTGGGCTTAGGAGTGCCCAGGCGACTTACCAGCGATGTGTGCAGAATTGTCTTCATAGTCAAATTGGGTGCAATGTTCATGCTTATGTGGATGACATAGTGGTTAAATCC